AGTACATAAGTGCATCTGTAATACATTTCTGGAATTAGTATAAATAGAAGTGTAATGGCAATGGTCTTTTTCTAGAAATTGCCGATTTGTCTTCTACAGGGGTTGTGTCATTTTGCACTTCCACCACTGATGCATTTCAGATATATCCTAGGAAAAGCTATTCTCTTTTGGCCTCTAAGATATTTTGTTCATAAGGCAATTCCCAAAGATGTTCTAACTGCAAAAAATTACAGAAAGCTCTTTGTTTTACCCCAAATGCAGAATTACAATCTGTTTGCACAAATTAAAACAAAGGAATTTTCAAATTAAAAAAAAAAAAAAAAAAACCTCACTGACATAAGAAATCATCATATTGATGCCTAATGTACTGGGATAGAAACTATCTATCTTTCATCCCAATTATCTCCTGTCATCTAAAAACAAATATACTCTCCCATTCCAGTTTTTTTTTTAATTAACATTCAGTGGTTTATAATTGGGTAAGCAGTCAAATGCATTTCACTTTGAAATGAATGTTTTCCTGAAGCACTTATGTTTTCATGAAACAAAATCCATGTTACTTCTATATTGTCCTTTAAAAAGCTATAATTTCAAAGGTGGTTTCATTTTTATGACTGCCATTTTCGAAGGACAATGTCGCCTAATATACTATTTTTATTTCAATGCCCATCCTATCAAATATTTTATAATTGGAAAATGCCTACTTAAGTCCATTGGACTTCCCATTTGAAGGAATCCTTAAGCAAATTCAGTTTCAGTATCACTGTTTTATAAGAAAATGTGTACACAATGATTTTAATCCCCCAAATAAGGATGCACCAGCATATGCAATCTATGTTGCATTTTGATTGTTCAGAAATCAGCTATCAGATCATCTCAGTCCTCTGAAACATAGTAGTGAACTAGTTGATGAACTCAAAATAAATTTTAAAAAGCTGCCACACCTTCTGTGCCCTTAGTCTGTAGATGACAGAACCATACTTAAGCTCTCACCCAAACAATGCTGATTTTAACAGTAGAGTCAATATAATGCACAGAAAGCCAAAAAAACAAGAATTACCTAACAAAGGTAAAACAAAACATCACACATCACAAGTAGCACACGGGACATAAAAGCTTATCAGTCTAGGACAATTTAGGAGTACAGTCCTACACAGCAAAAGTCTCTGAGGAAATCACATATATTCTGTGAAGTGACTGCTGTTCACAATGACAACTCTGAGCCATTAAAACAAATTTAAAAAACCCTTAAATTATACTCCATTTGTACTGTTTAAGAAAACATGGGAAAATTTTAGATTTTAGAGACGTAAGATGAACTATGATAAAGTGTGGTAACATTTTGGGGGCTTCAAACATGCAATTCCCTGCACTAAGCCAATTCTTGGTGAATAGTCAAAAGAATATCTGATGATTTCTGAAAGCTACTCAGGCAAATTTTCCACTTAAATGGCTAGACACATTCAAGAAAATACCCTGATTTCACTTTTCAGTCTGTTTTCTTTAAGTTGTGACTGCCAAGTAGACAGGTTAATCTGGTTTCTAGCTCCAACTTGCTACATGACCTTGTCCATGTGACTCAATCTCTCTAGCTTTAGTTTATTCATCAGTAAAGTGAAGGAGTTATACAAAACATGACATGATAGTTAACAGAATTAATGCGCTAATAAAGTAAACCAAAGAGCTACTACTTTAAGTCCTATAATCTATTTCTTCACTATGTCTAAACATCTATACGTACACCATTTTGAAAGTATCACAAACTATATGCCACTTTATATCTAAGGCCTAGAGTAAAAGAAATTCTAATCATTTTAGAATCTCTTCTAATATTTATTATGTGTTACTCTCAGGATATAACAAAATTTTCATGTACTCATTTAAAATACCATAAAATCAATTATATTTAACCTGAAAATATATGACTTTTCCACTTCACACCAATAAAAAACAACACATGATATGTAAAGGAATGTTCATGGCAATGTCATTTATAATACCCAAACACTACCAACAACAATAGCATGAATGAATCCTGAGTCATACCAAGGGAATAATATATAATAATGAAAAAGAATGAGTATTACATGCAACTATGTAGATGATCTCCAAAACATTAGTAATGCTGAGTAAAGGAAAAAAGAATACATGATTCCAGACAATGTTGCCTACCAGCTGACCCACCCATATCCCATGCTGCCTGGTATCGCACTGGGCACCCCACAGCCATTCCAGCATCATATGGTAGCGGGTAAGCACCAACCTGAAGGAGAGCACAAAGGCAGTCATAGTCGCCAGTCTTAGGTAAGTATCTAATATGAGCTCTGAACTTAGTTATGGAGTCTAGATCTCAGCTCCACTACCCCCAGCCACCTTTCTGTCTCTGTGACCAAAGGTGGCAGCTGCCAAGAACTGCTAGACAAGGTGATGGAGACCCTGCAGCTGACTGGAGTGCTAATACTGGAGCTAAAGGAAGATGGGTCCTCCATGGAGAGCAAGGACTTCTTCCAGTTGCTAGAAGACATGTGCCTGATGGTGCTCGGGTTTGGGGAAAGCTGGACCCCAGCAGGAATGGGTACTGTCAGATGGCCTGGGCCAGGAGAACCCCAAGCACAGGAAGAACACCACCCTCATCACTTTCAATGTATACAAGCAAAACCCTTGGGACTTCTTTGGCAGCCTGACACCAAAGCCATTTCCTATAGGCTCTACTCCAGAAGCTGTGACTATAAAAGACTAACCCCAAAGAAAGTGCTCAGGGACATCCTCCAGTTGGACCTCCATGTTGCTACAAGGACTGGGCCACATGTTGCTGGGAATTTCCTCCATCCTTCACCATTCAGTAGAGGGGGCTAGGCAGTGGCAGCATCAGCAACAGGGTGGCCTCCATCCCTGCTGAGAAGGGTTTCTCAGCTTCTGCCCCTAGACTTGTCCCAAGAAAAACAATGCGTGCACTGTGACAGAATCAGGTTTGGGGTTCTGCACACAGTGCATACTAGATAACTCATCTGTTTTCCCTCAAAGTTCTCTGTCCGCATTGTGATAGGACCCATCAGCATTAATGCCTTCCACCTCTACCTATACCCTTTTCTGAAGAATGCTGCCCTTTCCTAGCCATCTTTCCAGCCTCCCACTTAACATGAAAGCCCACAAGCCTGTCCCCAGGCATCCTGATTGCATCCTAATTGCTGCTACATCTAAATTTCTTAGAACCCCTCTTATCCCTTAGCTCCCCAGTACAATGAAAAGAGTCCTCTTTGACTTTACATTTAGACCTCTAATTCTTTTTCTTTAAAAATTTTTTAAATGTTTATTTATTTTTGAGAGAAAGAGAAAGAGACAGAGTATGAGCGGGAGAGGGGCGGGAGACACAGAATAGGAGCAGGCTCCAGGGCCTGAGGTGTCAGCACAGAGCCCGATATGGGGCTTGAACTTTTGAAGTGCGAGATCATGACCTGAGCCCAAGTCAGACACTTAACCAACTGAGCAACCCAGGCACCCTGAGATCTCTAATTCTTTATACCCTTCTCCTCCTAAATAACAAAAACATTTCCAATAAAAATGTTAAATTGTTTACAAAAAAAGTACATGATTCCATAAAGATTAAAAAGAGACAAAGCACACTGCTGAGAAATACAGACAAAAATGATAAAAATTACAGAGAGAATTATATAAATAATTACCATAAAAAATCAGGACATTGGTTATCTCTAAAGAAAAGGAAGACTACATCAAGGGTTTCTAGGATGCCAGTAATGATCTATGATTACATGGTTGCCTGCTTTATATTTATTCTTCTTACGTTTCTATATGATGGTATGTTTCATAACAAAAGGTTTAAAATGGTATATTTTCTGAAATAATATACTCTTATAGAGAAGGAAAAGAGGGTTCCTCTTTTTTTTTGAATTTTATTTTCTTGGCCTACAGTTCTAATTTTTATTGCAATAATTTAATAATAAAGAAATAGGTTACTATGTCTAACTCTCCACAACCCTAATTAAGAGTAGATTTCACAGGCTTTCCCAATGGCTACAAAAAAGTCCCAGGCCCTTAAAGAGCATTAGTTATCCTATAAATCTTTGCTTAGCTCAATGTTGTTTGTTACTTCTTTTCAATGAAATGTATGCTTACTTTTAAAAAAAAATCTACATTACATCCAAGTAATAATTTTATATAGGCTGCACTCCAAAAATATCATATTTTAGCTCATGGGTAGGAAGAAAAACACTCTTAACTGTCACATATTTTACAATAATTTTGGGAGCTTGTGTATGCATACAATGTGAGGGTTCATGACAGGAAGGACATAGACATGACACTTGAGGTCCAACCCAATATCACTCTGTGTAAGGTAAGTACAGTTCACTGTGTGTACTAGAAAACATGATAGTTGGATTACAGTATGGATATACAAAGCAAGTTACACTTAAGTCTACCGTACAAAGCATAATATAGGATGGCTCATTCAAAAATAGATCCAATAATGCCTAATTTAAATTATACTGGATCAGTTTTAAATATTTCCTTTGAAAAACAAAAATACAGGAATTAAAATTATTACAAAAAAGATAACAATAATAAAAATAAAAATAAACTGACTTCAATTATAAAGATTATACACATACAGTTTAGGAAACCATTAAAGGTCCACCATCTACAACCATCTTTCAATGTATGTTTGTTATAATTTTTAGATGCCACTGAACAAGCAGACAATGAAATTTAGAAACAACACCATCAGTCCCACAGTCAACACAATTGCAATGGTATCACTCATTATAATAAAGTTACTTTTGTTGCATATTGTTGTTTTTCTATGAATGAAGCCAAGAAGTCCCCTCTTCAGTGGGTCTAGCTAACCAGTTATCTGCCCATCTATTAAGTGCCAACTTTAAAAAATCACAGTGTCCAGCAGGGAGCAGCATTACAACATTCATAAGACTTTATTTGAACATGAAACTGACAGAAGAAAAAGGAGAAAAAAAAAAACCACTTACCATAGGTCTGTTCTATTAATACATTCAATTTTTAGGATAGTTGCAAGGCTTCCAGAAAAAAAACTTAAGGCATGTCTCAAAGTTATATGGGTGATCCACGATTTCAGGATTCCTAAAGCAGGAAATCAAAATTATATTAGGTAAAGGATTCCCCCTGCCACATTGTGTAAAATTGGTATACAATACGACTAAATGTCTCTCAGTTTTTAAGGTACATATTCCTCTTAATGGTTCAATGGGATTCTGAATTCAGATATATAATATACTTTGGATAAAATGATTTAAAAAGACCCAGAAGGGGAAGGGGTGTGATGGGCATGGGTGAGGGCACTTGTTGGGATGAGCACTGGGTGTTATATGTAAACCAACTTGACAATAAACTATTTAAAAAAATTTTTTACATTGCCAAAAAAAAAGACCCAGAATATTAAAGTCCTTTATCCACCAGAAAATTTAAGCAGAAAAAAGTGGGTGCCATGATATATTGAACTAGAGAGAACAGTGATCAAGGACTTAAAAGAATTGGTAATAGTTGACATACAATTCTAATATATCAAATCCTAAACAATTTGCAAGTAACAGGATATAAGATTCATTTCTACATGTCAGAATGAATATGTGAGCTTAATTTTACCAATAAAAAGGCAGCAGAGAAGTAGTGTATAATGTGGATATGTTGAACTGATTATTCAAATATTTACTGAATATAATGATAATGCAGAAAAACTCTGTGACCAGTTAAAACTGTGACAAATGAAAAACATACTATGTTTAATACTGTCTTAGATGCCAATACTGCCTCATAGTCAACTAAAATAGTTCCATGTCAATTCTTATAACTGAAAGAAAGGTTTTATTTTCCAATTATAAAATGAGCTTTAAGTTATAAAATAAATAAGTCATGGGGATATAATATACAGTGTAGGGAACATAGTTAGTAATGTAATAACTTTGGTGACAGATGATAACTACATTATTTCACAGTGCGTAAAAATATCAAATCGGTATGATGTACCCCTGAAACTGTATGTCAATCATAGTTCAAATAAAGTTTTAATTCCATTTTTACTTGAGATGTTAAAGTTCGCTTCATATGTGCTTACATGCAACAATTCAGTGTCTACACTGAAACATAAATTTTTCCCTTGAAAGAAGTAACATGAATATTCATCTTGAAATGTATATAATTACCTGTAAGTTATATAATATACATTATCACATATCCATGTATTACTAATAAATAATATTTATTCAAAATTTAGCAAGTAATATGTAAAATGGTTTCTGCTATTTTCTTCAGGCAAAATAATATGAAAACCTTAAGTATATGATATTAAGACAACCGTGACACTCTAATAATTATCATTAATTTTAATGAAGCCAAAAGAAACTGTTGTATTTGTATTAATCTTCCACGCTTTAACATTAAGCTATTCATGGCACTATTTCTTATATTTTGCCCTCCTTACAGTCTTTCTCTTATCCTGTATCTTGCCATTGCTTTTATACATTTCATTTTCTGTGATACTTCCTTATTCCTACCAGTCTATCTTTTCTCTCTTTTCTAATACACTTGTTTCAATCTCAATTTTTGTTTTGTCAGACTCCTCTCTTTATGAACCTACCATCTTTTCCCCTTTTATGTTAGGACCCTTAAAAGTGAGTTTTTTTTCTGCAAGTCTGCTTAAATATACTCTTTCACCCATTTATAGGCACTCTCCTTGATCTTAACAATATAAGCTGATTGGAAACTCCATAAACTTAAATAATAGTTGCTACTTATAAAAATATTTTTCCTCTGATTTATTTAAACATTTGAAGAATTCACTAAACATTTTGGAGTCAAGCTTGAAACTGAAAAATCTCAAGGACATTTAATCTCACATTCATTCCAATCAATGAGAACTCCACTATTCGAATAAAGAGGTAATTTAGGATTTTACTACGTTAGTATGAATAGATACTGAGTAATAAACTTTTTTAAGTCAACAGAACTTTTGTGCTTTTTATTCATGTGTGTGCATGCACATGTGTACAATATCCTCATTAAAAAGCAAAGATACATGAAATAAACCCTTATCTCTAATATATACTATCAAGTCTGAAAAGAGCAATTTTCTTATCCAGCACTCTCTAATATGAATATTAACATTAATGGTTCCCATAATTATTCATACTGAAAATGAATTGATCACATCTCATCAGAAACGTACAAGACAGTTAGAACAACACAGGGGTTTACATTAGCACAAGAGCTTTATGCCTATGAGATTCCTCAAAGGTGACACATGAAAGGAGCACCTGGCACCAGTTTAGCAATTGTTCAATTCCTTACTTGCGCTTACCTGAAGAACAGTCCCAGTTTGGGAGACATGCTGGTACCATGCCATCCTGCTCTAGAATTTCTTTTATTTTTATCAATGAAAATTGTTAGTGTTCTAGTGTTTACCATTAAAAATGTCTTGTTTTCCTTTATAGGTACATTTACTTGACAAATTTCCTTGAACCAAAACATGTTTACCTTTTGATACATTTACCCTCTTACACTGAATATTCCAAGACAGAAGTATACAATGGATTTTTAAATTTTAATTTTAAGCTCCCTGGTTTTCTGTTTATACTTAAACATCCACTAAAATGAGGGTGAGCATTAGTACTCATGTTGCCCTGGACAGTTCCAGATTACACCTGCTTTCTTGGCATCCAGTATGATGCGTTATTGTGGCATTCTTAAAATGTCCAAAATAACTCAGGGGTCACGGAGGAAATCAAACCAAAAAAGTTGAAAATATTTTGAAATAAATGTTGATGAAAACATAAATATTATAAGTTGTAGGACGCAGCTAGCGCAGTATTTAGGGAAATTATACCTTTAAATATAAACAGTATTATTAGAAAAACACGAAGAAAAATGAATAAAGCTTTTACCACAAGGGGGGAAACCTAAAATCTCAGTAAATCAATGAATGTAGAAAACAAGTAAAAATAAAGAGCACTAACTGACAAAACAAAAAGTAAACAGAAAACAAAAATTTTAAAGCCAAAAGTTGGATTTTGGGGAAAAGAATGAAAATGAAAAATCTCTAGCAAACCTATGAAAAAGGGAAAGAAACACAAATATCAGCAATTATAGTCATTAAAAAGGTAGTAAGAACTGCCTCTAGTATGGTGAAGTAAACTTCTAACAAACTCTTCCCATAGATAATCATAAACGCAAGACAAACTACAAAAACAATTATGTGAAGGCTCTACAGACTGAATAGAAGCAAAGAGATTTTTCTGAGGAAACAATGCTGTAAAAGAAGATTGTCAAAAAGGTTTCTTATTTTTACAGATTTAGCTTAAGCACAGTGCAGTATATAGGTAGTTAAAACAAAGAAAAAAAGTTATCCTTTTGAAGAACCTGAAGAATTGCAAACTAAACAATGGAATGGGGGAGTCCAGAAAATAACCTACCTAATCAATGTGATTTTACTTATTGAAAAAGTAATGATTGAATACAGCAGGGAAAGAACTGTCTTTTCAACAAGTGATAGTAAGTCAATAAACTATCTATATAGGAAAAATAAATACACCTTTACCCCTGCCTCACACCAAAGGAAAAATAAAATCAATTCCAGCAGATTGCAGATTCAAATATCTGGAAGAAAACAAGGAGATCATATTTGGAATCTTGTAGTAGGCAAACAGACATAAAAAAATTGATACATCAGAATATATTCTGACTAAAAGCAAAGACAAGAATATGGAAAGATGGGGCACTTGGCTGGCTCAGTCGGTGGAGCATGCTACTCTTGATCTTGGCATTGGAAGTTCAAGGCCCCATGTTGAGGGTAGCGATTACTTAAAAAAATAAAATCTTAAAAAAAAGTATGTGGGACGCCTGGGTGGCTCAGTCGGTTAAGCATCCGACTTTGGCTCAGGTCATGATCTCATGGTCCGTGGGTTCAAGCCCCATGTCCGGCTTTGTGAAGACAGCTGAGAGCCTGGAGCCTGCTTCAGATTCTGTCTCCTCTCTGCCCCTCCTTCTCTCATGCTCAGTTTCTCCCTCTCTCTCAAAAATAAATAAACATTAAAAACAAAAAAGAATAGGGGCACCTGGGTGGCTCAATCAGTTAGTGTCCGACTTCAATTCAGGTCATGATCTCACAATTCGTGGGTTCGAGCCCCGCATCGGGCTTTGTGTTGACAGCTAGCTCAGAGCCTGGTGCCTGCTTCAGATTCTGTGTCTCCCTCTCTCTCTGACCCTCCCCTGCTCACGCTGTCTCTCTCTCTCTCAGAAATAAATAAAATATTTAAAAAATTTTTTAAAAATATGAAAACGGAAGTCTTAGACTAAGAGAAGAAATCTGTAACACATTTAATCCAAACTGGACTTATATCTAAAATATAAAAAGATCAACTGACGAATGGATCAAGATGTCGTTTACTACATCTTGGAATGGAAAACTACATGGCAATGAGAAAGAATGAAATCTGGCCATGTGTAGCAACATGGATGGAACTTGAGGGTGTTATGCTGAGCGAAATAAGTCAGGTAGAGAAGGACAGATACCATATGTTTGCACGTATAGGAGGATTAGGAAGAACTTAATGGAGGACCGTGGGGTGAAGAAGTGGGGAAAATAGTGCGGTAGAGGGAGGGAGGCAAACCATGAGAGACTCTTGAATGCTGAGAAAAAAACTGAGGACTGACGTGGGTGGAGGGGCAGGGAAGGGGGATGATGGGCATGGAAGAGGGCACTTGTGGGAATGAGTACTGGGTGTTATATGGAAACCAACTTGACAATAAACTATTAAAAAAATAAAAATTAAAAAAAAATTTTAATTAAAAAACAAAAAATAAATAAAATATAGAAAGAACTCCTAGAAATCTAGAAAATCCAACAATACATTTTTTTTTTAAATTAGCAAAGACATGAACAGACTCTTCACATAAGAAGTTTATCTAAATGGCCAATAAATATATGAACAGGTGCTCAACTTGATCAGTCAAAATCCAGATGACAATGTCATACCACAACCCTTTCAGAAAGGTTATAATGAAAAGAAAATCTTCAGTGTTGGTAAGCATGATAGTCAACTGAAATTCTCAAACATTCCTGTTAAGAG